TTACAATCATGCCACGCCATCCAGCCACCTCAATAAAATGACATGACCTATAAAACTCCCAACCAGTTCTTGAATATTTAATTACATCTTGATTTTTATAGGCTTCGCACTCATTATTTCTTACATTTTTAATGTGACACTCTGCACTCATACTGATTAACATTCTCGCTTTGAAAAGTAGGAAAAAAACAAGTCAAATAGTGACGACACTATGGCAGGAAGTGCAGCAAAATGTCTCCCCGGCCCTCAAATGTTCATGTCAGGAAACAAAAGCGAGAGAGCAGAACAGAGAATGGTTTGGTTTTTCCTCTTTTTAAAAAAAAAAAAAAAGACTGGTGCATTTTCCTGCAAGTTTAGTAAGAAGATACAGCTCATTTGGACGGGATTCAGCCGGGATGAGGCAGTTTTTTGTCCTCTACTTGCTGCTCGCTTGCTTGCACAGGCTCAGTGTCAGAAGTCTATAAATCCTCAGCTAGTGAAAGAAACTTCCATTCACACAGACAGACTCCCTGGCTGCCATGATGAGCTACTCAGGCTCAAATGAGAAAAGCCCATAACAAATAAATAACCAGCAGTGGCCGGAACCAGGGAGTCAGACAACAAGAGGAGGAAGGGAAGGGAAGTGGAGGGGTAGGGTGTAATAGAAACAGCAACGCAATCTATTCCAGCCAGAGACTGTGACGCAGCCGGTTCAATCAGAAGCGCTGGGCGGGCGGGTTGATAAGGCAGGAAGAGGAGCTGGTGTGGAAGTAACGGCATCACAGCTACAAGAGGGCCTCCAATCTTTCTTCACTCTCCGTCTGTTTCTCACCGGATATCTGCTCCTCTGTCCGTCGCTTCTGTCGAGTCTGTGCAGCTGTGTGCCAGCGGCCCGCGTACACACCAGTAACGCAGGTACCAGCAGCCAATCAAGAGACACAGATACTGAAGCTACATAAATCTGTATTTTAAACAGAACTGGAGGAACATTTTCAATCTTTAGTCTAAAAAATATCAGCTTTATGAGCTACGAAACCGTCAGCAAGAAGATTATCTGAAACTGCTGGCTGAACATGCTGCAAAAATCAAGAAAATTATGTTGATGATGACATATCTTATGGTGTAGGGTTAGGTCGCTCCCCATGTACAGAAGCTAAAGTCCTCCAAGCGGGCAGCCTGGGTTCAAATCCGACCTCCAGCTTTTTTCCCCACATCTCATTCCCCACTCTCTCTCTCTCCCTCCTGATTTCCTGCTGTGTCCTCTGTCTTATCAAATTGAGGCAAAAAGATCAAAAATGAATCTGAAAAAAAAAAAAATGACTTACACAGGTTCAGAACAAACCAGCAAAGAAATTCGAGAAATAAGCCCTAACTGACACAAAGTTAAGAGTTAATTTGAGTAGCTTTAAAGACAACCTTTAAAGACATTGAATTGCGTTACTAGAGAGGAATAAATTGTGATCTCATACCATCATATTGACTTGCATTGTGAGTTGCAGTTTTCCTTTAAGATTGAGAGTCACTACTGCGGATCATAAACTTTATAAAACATGGATGTAGTCTGAGTGAGATCCCCCATTGGTTTTCTGAATGGTAGTTTTGAAGCCCAGAGTTGTGTTGGGAATGTCTCAAAGTAACTTTTGATTAGTCATGAAACCGTCAAAGAGGTGGAGCAAACAGCATGCACGCCTGTCAGTCAGTACAGCCACACTCCTAATTATGCATGACTCTTAGTCTTAATAATAAAAAAATGTTGAGGTTTTTTAAAATTCATCCTTTGTACAGTGTGCACCAAAAAAGAAATGAGCTATTGATATTAAATAAAATATTTTAACCAGTCTGTAAACATGTTAATCTCTGCTGTAAAAACAGGCTTTTTAGAGTGGGTGTGTATGTGACTTCCTGTGCTTCTGCAGCCAGCCTCTAGTGGACACTCGAGGAACTGCAGGATTTTGCTTGTCTTCATTTTTCAACACCAGAGGTTTCCGCTTGCTGCTGACGTCCTGCTTCCATCAACAGTCATTTGTAGAAAATGTTTCCCTCCTAAACACTTATAAACCAACTATAAAAAGTGATTAATTCACATGTGCAACTTTACAAATATCATCCTATAAAACAAGGATACCGACAAAGACAGGGACTGTTTATTTTCAACACTTTATTCGAGGCTGTGGAAGAAATGTTCAGCTTTCCTACTGTGTGTGACGGTCGAGGCAGGTGTGACAGCTCTGAAAAGTTTCCCAAGTTACCAAAACTTCCCGTGTCAGCACACACTTTCTCTGAGAAATCATATGAGCGGAAGAGAACCACCTGTAAACCCACTTCATCCCCGAACAAAATGTCAGCAGGAATAAAACTCGATAAGCCGTGAGTAAAAAAAGGAGAAAGGCGGTCGGTCATTTAACCGGTGACAGCGTGAGGTACGACGCTCACTGTGATGTGGGAAGCTGCATTACATTATATAAACAGCATAGAGGACTAAAAGGAACCTGTTGACCTGCTGCTATTTAGAAAACGGCAGGACCAGAGCTCCTTCTGGCTCGAGAGCAACCACCTCCATTGTGTGTGAGCACACAGAAAAGTGTATTTTAACAAGACTCCAGTTTCCAGGCCGGCTTTGTGTGTTTCTCTCCTTCTGCACCTCTGCTATGATTTGACCTTTTCTTTGACTCTTCAGCACATTTAAATGAGCCGGAGTTGGTCGGACTAAAAAAGCTAAGCTAGGAGCTAATTTAGCTGACACCGGAGGGAGATGGCGTGATAATAGAAACAAGTGAAGCAGGCGGTTTAAAACTCATTAAAAGCCTACAGGAGGAGAGCAGAGTGTGAACTCGGGCTGAACCTCTCCGTGATAAGGGGGCTGCCGTCCTGTGGGGGGGCAGACATCGATGCCAGCTAGTTTTCCAAAGAGTTATTAATACATCTGAAGAGCATGGCAACAGACAGCGCCTTCATCATCCAGTCAGTGATAGGGCTCTGACCACGAGGCCCCTCTAACCACTCAGTCTGCTTCTCTAGCAGAGGCTTCTGCATCAGGTTTTTAATCATATTCCTCGTTTTTGTATTTAGTCATAAAAACAAGCAAAAAGAGTCACTAATATACAAAGATTAATTTAAAGTCCACTCCTCTCGGCCGAGGTCTTTGCAAAAAAAAAAAAAGCAAAGAAAAAGAAGAACACATGAAAAACAACTGGGGCAGGAACTGTCTGAGTAAATGCAGAGCGAAGGGAGGGCTTGATTCTTCAAAGCAGTTGTTCAGGATTTAAGGATTAAGGAGAGCTGGAGTGTTACCACGCTATCTTAACAACAGAAAAAAAGGAACTTGCTACGGATCAAAATTAAATGAAAATAGCTTAAGGAGAAAAGTTGAATATGGCATTACAAGCTCCATATTACCTTTGACTTGTCGACCGGGCCGTCTCTGTTTCTAAAGTGAAATGAGACACTCAAAGGTGCAGCAGCGTTGCTGTTTTGCCATCGGATGGGAGTAGCAGCTGAACTACAGTGCACCTAAAGGAACAAAAAAGAAAAGGATTCATGCAGTTTTAGAGGAATAAATGTGTTAATTTCTGACCTTGATGCCAAGCAGCAAACTCCGGTGTTGAAAAATGAAGCCGATGCTGAAGTGTAAAATCCTGCAGTTCCTCAAGTGTCCTCTAGAGGCTGGCTGCAGAAGCACAGGAAGTCACATACACACCCATTCTAAAAAGCCTGTTTTTACAGCAGAGATTAACATGTTTACAGCCTGGTTCAAAAAAAACAAACAGGTCTGATTAGCTCATGTCTCGATCGACACACACTGTACGGGGGGGTGAATGTTTTGATGACTCATCAGTTTTGATTTGATGAAGGATAAGAGTTATTCACAATAAGGCGTGTAGCTGATATGATTGACAGGTGGGCGGGGTAACGATTTGTCAGCAGGCTTAAAACCCGCCTTAGCTCCAGCTCTCAGCCTGTCGTTAGGTCGACTGAAAGTTAGGTTGAGACAGCATTTCCAGCATGGAGACCACCATCGATGGGACTCCAGCGCCCCCTGCAGGAACAGACGGGTGACGTCACTCAGGCTTCAT